CCTGGATGAGAAGCAATTGGAAGAAATAGCATTTCTGAAACAGACACTCTAGCTGTTCTTAACAGTTGAGTAGACACATATATTCAGTGAAGAGAACATTTCTGACTAGGACAAGATTGCTCTTCAGGCTGTGATGTGAACTAGGCATCTTCAGGATTTAACCTACCTGTCACTTGACTGAAAAGAAAATATGACCCCTCTACTTTCTACCCACTGTTAACATGACAAGTGTGTCTTTGACTGGTAAAGTGTGGCCAATCATTACAATGATGACATATAACAGGGTGGAAGCAACCTTTCTAGTTTGCGTGTGTGTGTGTGTAGTGATAAGTTCTGAAAAGTCAGCTGTGATTCCACAGCAAGAAGAACACTAATTTTGATTTGAAGTTTGAAAGTATATTCATAAAAGAGAAAGTGAAAAGACAATTAATATTGGTTATACAGTTCATCAAATGGGTATGGATGATTTATTTTATGATCTGTGTATCCTGTGATCCTGTGTATCCTGTGACTCTGGGGTTTCAAAGGTGAATAAGATAGATTCCCAAATAAGGTTATCAACTGTTTTGGTTTGTCTGGGACTGAGAGGGTTCCTAGAATATAAGACTTTTGGTACCCAAACTGAAAAAGTCCTAGGCAAATTGAAATGAATTACCCTACCTGTCTCAAGGAAGTCATAGGCTAGTAAGAAAACCAGTTATATAAATAAATAGCTACAAAATAGTATGGTATGTAAAATTATGGAATAGTAACACTGGTTTATGCTTTCATAGCACATTCTGTGAACAAGGCACTATTAGAATAATGCTGTCTTAGCCTGTTGGGCTGCTGTAATAAAATAGCATAAACTAGTAGGTTATAAACAACAGAAATTTACTTGCCATAGTTCTGGAGACTGGCATTTCCAAGATCAAGAAGCCAAGAGAGTCATATCTGGTAAGTTCCTGCTTTCTGATTCATAGAGACTTGCTGTTTCCTCACATAGGAGAAGAGACAATCATTGATGCTTTCTGGAGTCGTCTGTATAAGGGCACTAATCTCAGTCATGAAGGAAGACCCCTTATGACTTAATATCTTTTAAAGACCTTACTTCTTAGTACCATCAAATTGGGGGTTAGGATTTTAGCATGTGAATTTTAGGAAGACATAAGCATTCAATCTATTGCAATGCCTTTATATGCATCAACTTACTGAATTCCATAATAATCCTGTGAAGGAAAAACTACCTTGATCTCCATTTTTCATGGTAAGAAATTGAGGTGCTACTAAAGGGAAAATCTTGGATTCAAATGCAGGCAATATGAGTTTAGATCTGAGATCTTAATCTAAGACATGGAATTAGCATGGAGAAGTGAGTAATTTTGTGGGTGACAGAAAGTGGTCATGGGAAAAGGGGTGATAGAGAAATGGGTTCGAGAAGGTGATGCCTGAGGAGAATTTTGAATGATGAATGAGTAATCAACTAGCAGGGGAAAAAGAGAAGAGCATTTCAGGAATAAGAGCTCAGCAATAGGAAGATAGGAAATGTCATGGTGTGGGTCGTTGTTCTCAATTCCAGTGGAGGCACTAATGGACATATTCTGGATCCTGACACACATAGTAGTGCATTTCATCAATTATGTTAAGACCTTGAGAAAGAAGCCTGGACACATAACAGATCCAGAGTAAAAAGGGCCTCACATACCATGATGAGGAAGACAGACTTTCATCTGTATGCAACAGGGGAACACAAGAGACCCTGAAGTAAAACTTGAGATTTATGCATTTAGAGAATTATTTTGGTAGCCATAAGATTGTTTGAAAGCAGAGGGGTGTGGGGACAGTGGTAGGGGACAACTAAGTAGGAAGCTCCTGAAAAAAAAAAAAAGTAAACATTGGTAACTTCAATTTTAGTTGATGGCAATGCAGATATCCCAAGGAGGACTAAACAGATTCAAAAGATGAGGGTAATTAAAGTGAACTTTGTAAGAGAGTGCCTATAAGGCTCAGAAAATCCAGGAATAGCCTCTATGAGCCTCATCAGTTGACTGGGAGCTTGGTGGTTTTATCAATCATCAAATGAATAGTTTTTAAAAAAATGAATACAGCAGCAAGAATATGTTTAGAAGACAGAGAGTTTGACTTTCCACAATGTGACTCTCAAGGCTCTATCAGAAATCTTTTTTTTTTTTTTTTATTAGAGGTTTTTGCTACAGAGCACGTGGGTTGCCAGAGAGACAGAGAGAAACAGAGAGACAGAAAGCGAGATATCACCCACAAGGGTGGATGGCCATGCCGCAATCCCTTCTCCTCCATTCTCCTTTTGGGATCTTGGGCATGCACGCACATGCCCCTGGAGGGAGTTTAAGCCACTGGGTCCGGGACTTGAACTGTAGTTGACTACATGGGAGTTCAGTGACATAGTCGTTTCACTAACTGCTGGTCCCAGAAATCTTGATATTATTATTTAATGTTACTATGTTGTAAAAGAAGGAATTATCTTGTCTTAAAGGCTACTTCGTTTTATCATCAATAGTGAAATAATGATTACAAGAAAATTTCTTTTCTTTTCTTTTTTTTTTTTTTTGGAGAGATTTTCGCTATAGGGCGCGTGCGCTCGCCAGACAGAGAGAGACATAGAGACAGAAAGCGAGAAATCACCCCCCAGGGGGGATGGTCACACCGCAATCCCTTCTCCTCCATTCTCCTCTTGGGATCTTGGGTACGCACGCACGCACACGTGCCCGGCGTGAGTTTTAAGCCACCGGATCAGGACGTGAACCGCGGTCAACTACATGGGAGTTCAGCGACATAGCCATTACGCTAACTGCTGGTTCCCAACAAGAGAATTTCTTGAAGAGAGGTATAAAGTAAATAGAATGCAGAATAATTATATGATAATAATTAGACATCATTCAATTTGTCACTGAAGTAGAAAAATATTGAAGACATTTCTTTATGATAAGATATTATTATTTATTCTAGGAATGTTTATATTTTCTAAAAGACAGAAGTCCTTAACTGAATTCCTGATGAAAGATTTTACATATCCAAACTGTAGAAGTGGTACAATATTTTGGGGCAAAAGAGCCTTCCAGAACTCCTCAAATCATGATAAATTTGTAGCTGCTAATTCTGTGTGCATGGTGTCTGGGAATAATTTGAGTAACTGAAAAGTGCCAGAAGTTCTATGTATGGATTCTACCCATATCTGAAGTATCTTTGAATAATACTTATCAGTGCATGTTTGTTTCAAAATATTTAACATTTTTAGGATCTTGGAATCGTAAATACAGAAAATCAGTTGTTACTGATCAATACTGAAAAAAAGTCTTGATTATCTACATGACCTTATTATTTGGAATTTTTAAAATACCACTTTTCAGCTCTGTTCTGCCTTTATAACCCATGTGATCATGTTTGCTTCAGAGTGTTCTGTATCCCTTAGAAGTAGGGAAGGGCCATGTATCCCCTTACTCCCATATAAATTCTAATCTGTGAGTTTCTGAATGGTTCCTGGATTAAAGTGCATGAACAATGATCTTTATTATCTAATACACTTTTTAACAAAAGAGCTAAACATAGTATTTCATAAATGCACTTATTGAATTTAGAATGTCTTCTTTTGAATAATCAAAACTGGAAGGGATGGAGACCCAGGGAGGCTAAGAGAATTGACCAAAGACACAGTTTAAATGTGGGAACTAGCAAAAGTGCACTACTATCCTGACGTCTCCCCAGTCCTCTAGCTAGGAGGTAACTCTGTTTCTTTCCTGAGAATGTAATTATTTGTGAAATAGCCAAATCACATGGGAAAATGATTCTGTTCTTGTGATTAAGTGGCCTGAGATCTTTTCTACCAGGCAAAACTTCACCCATCTCTCAGATTTCCTAACTTTGGTTTTTATTTAGAGAAGCATGCTGCTCACTGTTCTAACATCATTCATCTTTGTCAGCACCCAAGGCCACAACTTCATCTGAACGGCCAGTGATATATTGCAGATAGAGTGCACCAAAGACATTAAACTCTATATGACATTTATATGGACTCTGAGCTCACCAGAAATGGATTAATGCTGCCATAAAGCCTTGAAGTAGCCAATCGAACAGGAGACTAAAGAGACAGGTAGGGGGTGAGATAGGAAAAGCAATATCTTTCTCCACTCACTTTCCCCCTCTGCAGAGGTTGGCTCATATCATATTTAGGAAATAAAGAAATCTAATGAGTATGGGTATTTTTGGAGGCACGCACAGGAGCAAACTCATCCTTGAGTATCAGTGGTAGTCCCTGTAAGCCTTGGCCAGGTCAATGACCAGCATGGATAATAGAACACTTATAATAACCCCCTCCCAATCCTACCAACCATATATCTTAATGGAATAAAGAAAATATCTAAGGAACATAGACACAGCACTGGCAGTGGATCAAGCCAGGGTTTAAATACATGTCCATTGTGTTTCTTTAGCATATATCTTCAACATCATAGTCACAATGTTCTTTACAGGATTACTCACTCAGAATGGGCAGAAAGCTGGCATTCCACTGTGCATGCCCAACCTGCAGACTAGATTAAAGATAACAATACGCCGGGGTTTGGATTCAAAATTATCAGCACGATGGGACCTACCTTGACCTGATTCAACAGGTATTTTGTAGGTATTCTGGAACCAGACTGGAAAATAATCTTATACAACAAAACAGTAACTTATTTTTTTCGTAGCTAATGTTAACCAATTTTGCAGCACTTAATGTGATTAAGCTTGTTGCAAACAAAGTACCCAATTATCAGAAATGGGGCTCTTCCACCCACATCTTTGTCTTTTCACATAGATATGTATGTGCTGTTGCAGACCACTGTGTGTGCTTGTGTGCATTCTTCATGGACCACCTGCAGCTAACTTTGGAAGATGCATATTTTTTTAATATCATTTAAACCACAGCAATGCATACACATTTAAAAAATAATCGGTGACTAAGAAAGCACCCAATTACACGAAGAAAGACAATAAATTTGACTTACCAGTTTAGGTTGTTCGAGGAAGCAGCAGAGGAATAAGTTGTTGGTAATTGTCCAGTGCTTTCATTCAATAAATCACATTGGGTTTGCTTTCTCCTGTGGCTCAGCTTCTGCGCAAAACAAGCGAACCTCCTTCCTATTCTGTGTAAAGAATAAAATGCGAACAGGATCAGTACAGGCAAGAGCCGAGGTCCATAATCACTAAGCTACTCTTAATGCAAAATAAAAGAGCAAACGATGCACGGGGAGAGAAAGGGAGAAAGAAATAGCTTGGCTCAGAATCTAGGTGTATTCTCAGGATTGCAGCCCGGACGACGCTTGATTTCTCAAGCTTGTGTGCATGTAGCTAAAGGATGCCATGACTTCAGTGTGTGTTTAGCCTATTGTATCTGTGAGGACCATTCAGAAAGGCACGCAGGGACAACACGCTTCATGGCAAACAAGACTCAATCGGAACTGACTGTCACTCAGGGGTGAGCAAAGGGGCAACAAGTCAGGCAGTTAGTTTTACACTACATCAACGGCAGGGGAAGAAATATCGTCTGGCATCCAAGAGCCTATTCTGCAGTCTGTGACTGCAAATGATCTACAGCTCTTCTGGGCTGGAGAGTCCCTAACTCCCACAGCTGCCTGGTACCAGAAGCACACAGGTGGTAACTACAGTCCTTCACCACAGGGCACCTGTGCGATCCCTTACACGCTCCCAGCATGAGCAAGGGAGCACCTTCAGAAAGCTTCAAATCCAGCCAGGGCTGCTCTTGGGTTTTGTCTGAGCAGGTTCTGAGAAAGTGGTCAGCGTATAGGGGACTTAGGACACCAAGAGGCCTCAGCAGGAAGATTCCAGTGCTGCCTCTATGGTAGTCACATGTGTTTACCTGACTCTTTTCACAACGTCATGCTTTCCATGACTAATGAAACTCACAAAATGAATTTCCTAGAAAGCCATATATATAGGCATTTTTCATGTTTCTCTTTGAAACAAAGTGGCAAATGACCTTCACAGGCTGCTTATTATGTTAGGGAGGCCCTGCTGATTGCAAGTATGTTTGAATAGCATACACACATACACATAACACACACACACACACACACACACACACACACCCCACAGAGCCCTAGCAACAGCATTAAGAATCTTTCTAAAGCTCTATTCAAATTCACTCTGTGCCAAATGAATGCTTAGTTGCTGTGATGACTTCAGAAATAATGTGGACCCTTTTACTAGGCACTGACACTAGTCTATTATTTATACTTGGAGTCAAATCAACTCCCAAATTTTGAATGTGACTCTAACAAATCAGAAGGAAGTCTCTTGGTCACAAGCAAATGTATGGAGTATTAATCTTTGTCCTGATGATTACTGAGAAGCCTGAGAATGGCATCTTGTACACCTGAAAATCTCCCCCTTTCTAGAGATAGTATCTCTCCCTGGCAGCTTACTTGCTCAGGACAAGTGGCTCTTTTAGAGCGGGGATCTGATGCGAAAAGGCTCAGTGACTCGTAAGACTTAAGTGTACAAGGAAAGAGCCCAGGTTAGCTGTCCACAAGTGTTGTGCCTTTTATTTTCTTATTAGAAAGGTAGAATCTCTCTCAGGAACTTTTATTCTCCCTTTCTCTCTGTGGATTTATTTGTCCGTGGAAGCAGTGCTATGAATAATCTACTTCGTTAATATTCATGCTCTTCAGTTTCAGAAGCCTCTTTTGTTCATCAAGGATTAATTAAGAAAGAGTTAAACCAACTTTTTACAGTTTAAGCCTAAATGATTTCCAGGTAAAACTTCACCTTTATGTCTAGGAAAACTTTGACTTTAAAGCAGAATTGCTTAAATTTCATCGGCTGGACTAATTGAGTTACTCTACTCAGGTTAGAGAGCTACTCCACAGTGTGGGTCATAAGTTAAATCTGCTTTACAAACCAAGGGGAAAATGCCTCTTCCAATAGTAACCACATTCCCTGGGGCTCCTACTCAAGTCTGAGTCAAAAAGCCCAAGTCCACTGCAAAGAGATTCATCCATTTATCTATTCGTTAATGAGCCCACTCTTTAGTTGATATTTATTAAGTACTTAGTAGGCTAGATAACCTGCTACAAACTTTAATATTCTGGCCTATGGGGGGGGGTGCTTTCTCACTTTGTTTCTCTCTCTCTCTCTCTCTCTCTCTCTCTCTCTCTCTCTCGCATGCAGGCTCTCTGAAAATATAAAAAAAAAAAGTCATCCATTTATCTATTCGTTAATGAGCCCACTCTTTAGTTGATATTTATTAAGTACTTAGTAGGCTAGATAACCTGCTACAAACTTTAATATTCTGGCCTATGGGGGGGGGCGCTTTCTCACTTTGTTTCTCTCTCTCTCTCTCTCTCTCTCTCTCTCTCGCATGCAGGTCCTCTGGTAAAATGTAAAAGAAAAGAATAATGGGGGTGTTAGAACTGAAAGGAATCTCGAAGTTCACTGAAGTACATCTAAATTTTCTTGCCCAGTGGCCATCTACTGAAGGTTTGCCTTCCCTAATCAATACTTCTCGTTTGTCTTAATCCATACTAATCACACTCTTACTTCGTCCCCCACTCTCTTGAAATTTTACAGAATATTCTTGCTTTTACTTTGCCGGCTATTTCCTAGAGTTTTGTATCCTTTCTACAAACTGGTATTCTCCATAACTCATTGCATAAGCCTGCAATTTTCTGATCCTTGATTCATTGAACAGCAAACATTTGAACAGGGAGTCAAATCATCAGAGTATTGTTTAAGGAAGATTACTCTGGTTTTGGGGGAAGGGTGGGTTAGATCAGCCAGACGGAGAGGTTCTAATACTGAGTGTAGTGGAGATGGGATCTAAAAGCAGCCTTGTCTTTGCTTTCCCTCTACCTCTCCTCCCTCACCCCTGTCTCTGTGTCATAACACCAATGTTCTCTTTTGGAACACTGAGCATGTTTGTTCCATACACAGGCCTTCCCTTCCACCCAATTCTACTCCCACAGTTCTTTTACTTGTTTAGGTTTTTTGTGGACATGTCTCATTGATTAGGTTAAAACTTCTCTGAAGACAGGGATTACTTTCTATTTCATGTCTTCCCTCTTTGGCCCTTATACACCCTGCCTAGCCATGCACATAGTAAATGCTCAATAAATGTTAAGACAGAAAATCATTTATTATGTGCAAAATGTTGGATGACGCAATGTGATACAGAAGGGTGCAAAGAGGAATGAGGCATTTTTTTTTTCAAAGATAAAATAGATCTATTTA